GCAGGAAGGCGCCCTGCTTTCACTAGACAGAACAGCTGATCACAAAGACAGGAACGGTTCTGAGAGGGACATTCATTGTCGTACCCTGTCGCCTTCTCCATGATGAACTGTTGGGGTCCATCACCCCAAGATGTCCACTTGTGACAGCTCAAGTCCTTCTCAGCATCTCCTGGGTGAACTGCGCCCCAAGCAGAAAAGCAGGATAAGCCAATGAGGGGCAGGAGTGATTGAACCCAAGGGAGATGAAACACGCTGGGGACCCTCCCAAAAGCTGTTTCCATCCTCGTGACCTGCTACTGGGCAGGCCAGGGAAGGAACAGGGAGCCCCATTAGGTGTCAGGACAAGCAGTGGCTCCACCCAAGCATTTCTGAGCTGCCATCCTTGTTTCCAAGATGCAACTGCTCAGTGGGGTCAGCTTCTAGTTCTGCTCCTCGGGTCTCTGTTTTTACTCACAAGAGAACCCACGGCTACCTTGACCCCACCCCTCCTGGATCAGAACCAGTACCTGGAAAGGGGTGACTTTCTTGTCCCATGGTTGCCTCCCATAACCCAACATCCATATATGGAGGGCCAGGGGGTATATTCACCTCCTGGAGACAGCGGCTTCTACCTGTGTGCTGCGAGTGACACAGAGCTGGGCAGAGAGCCGGGACCCTGACAAGAACCAGCACAGTCCGTCACCCCCCCTGGAGCCATGGGAGGAAGTGGGGGACAGACCACAGCTAAGCGTTTTTCCCATGAGCTAAAAATATAAATGAAACACACTTTTCAAATAAAAACAAATGTGTTCTTTTGTTCTTATCTATATTAAGTAAAGTTTAAGATTTATTTACAGGTTTATAAATTAGTAAAATTTAATCATAAGCTATTGGAAAAACCAGCTCTCGTCCACTGTCTCAGATCATGACCATGACATTTCTTCACAAAGTGTAAACTCATAAAGAGCTTCAGAAGCTTATTCACTGCTGTGTCCTTGTCACCCAGAACAGCACCTGGCCCAGGAGACCCTCCATTACCAGGAATCAGTGAATGAATGAGCAAATACAAGAAGGAACAAATGAATCGCTGAGTGGATGAATAAGAGAATGAAGTGATAATCCATTGTCAAATGGCCCCTTTCCTGACTTGCCTTGCTCACTTACTCACTCAATGCCTGAGTTGCCAGGCCGGCTCACTGAAGCACCCTCACTGCCCAGGCAGGCTGGCTTCATCCAAGACCACGAAATACACACAGTCCCTCTGCCACCCAACCTGTGCTCCTGGACCACTCTGCATCTCAGTTCAAACACCCCATGCAGAGTGACATTTTGTGTTGTGAACTAAAAGTGCTAGTAGCTGCCCAATGTTTCCTTGTATTTTATTCTTAATGAATAAGGGGTCCATCAGATTTTCAAATGAAAGCACTGATTTAGAAGTGCAAAGGTAAGAATCTGAGAACCCCACAGGTAGGTCAAAAGCAGGCCCTCTAACAACCACAGCTGCAGTGGACTCTGATGACCACTAGAGGGCGCCACACAACCACTCAAAGAGCATCATTAGGGGGAAAACATCCAGTATAGAAATTCTGTCCTGGGCACGCCCTGGCATCACTCGCTGCCATAAAATTGCTGTAGCTACTGCTTATATAATGTCCGACTAACCAGAACAAGCTGAAACAAGGCTAGAGCCGTAGGTTGCTAAGCATCAGACTTTTACAAAAGTGACCCCACCTCTCTAGCTCACATATTTCACATCTCTTTATGTACATGCTCACTCGCTTTAAAAATTAACTGTAAATAGGGCCTCCCTGATGGCGCAGCGGTTGAGCGCTGGGTTGCGAAGCTGCCCACGACCTCTGCGGCGCCGGTTCGATCCCCGGCTGCTCCCCGGCCACCGGAGGAGGGTCCCACATGGCGCGCAGACCTCTCCTGCCGCCCGCCGCTCCCCTCAGCAGTGTACTTCGGTCCTTCTGCCTGCTCTGCTCCCCACTCTGGCTCTGGTGAATTCTCTCACCCTCCCGCGCTTCTGACTGTACCCAGTGCATGTATAAACAAAACAAACAAACAAACAAATAAATAAATAAAACATGCCTCTATTAAAAAAAAAAAAAATTAAAAAAAAAATTAAAAATTAACTGTAAATAGAAGAAAAGTCTTTTCCCTGTGGATGACAATTGAATCTATTAAAAACTGACCTGGAAAGAAAACAAAACAATAGCCTAAAGAATGAAAAATTAGTTTTTCAAGCTGTGTGCAATTATTTCCTGCCTCCAGCCACATTTTTGTGAAAACACATTCAACTGTTGACATATTCAATTTCATCTCCGCCAGTAAAGAAACTCAAGGCATGTGCAGGCTAATCGGGAAGTCACAGCAGATAGAATTATGATCCTATTGGTCAAGTTTCAAAGGCTTCATATGTAACTGAGTGCAGGAAGAAAGAAATTTCCCACAAACTTCTTCTCCCCAAAGGTTGGAATAATGCTGTAAATATTTTCAGGGCCATTATAAGCCACAGATGTTATCAGCAGTCAGGATCATGCAAACTTAGAAGATCTAGTCCACAAGGACTCTGCTTTAAAAATAGATTTAGAGCATTTGAAAGGACCACAAGTTAATTTCCCTTTGGAAGTCGCACAACCAATGCCCAGGCCTTAATGGGAGTGTGAAAAAAGACTAGCTCTGGTTCTATTCTAAGGCCCAGAACCTTGTAGGGAACCTCTAAATGACCATCAGAAATAAAGGGACAGAAGCAAGAACTTGGAAAACAGAATAATTCAAGAAAGCAACTGTCAGAACAACTGGCTATATCAAGACTAAAGTCAAGTGGCCCAGTGAGAGTTCCAGGGCAGAGAAGATTCTAAAAACTGCGCTGTCTGGTGCCTTCACAGCAGAGCATCTGGGCTGGTCTGTGACTGCACTTGCAGCTTCACTCACCAACCTGGAAAGACAAATGCGACTTGTCAGCACTGAGAAAAGTGTTGCAAGATGAAGCTGGTTGGCTGAGAACCTTCCGGAGTGCATTAAAACCCTGAGCGCTGGCCCTGGTGGGGACAGGGGCAGCTGAAGTTGAGGACCAGTCACAATTTATGCAAGGGAGTGAAAAGACCCACACTTACCACTTTTTTCCTGCTATTACATCTTTTTAATAGTCTAATATATCCTAATTATCATGATGCCCCTTCTTCCTTTGAGGGACTCAGGCATGCTTCTGGAACATTCTCCGAGAAGTTTCCTCATTTGCCGTTTTAGAGAATTGGCGAGTCTCAGTGAGTAGAAGTGACAGGGCTGGCATCTGACTTGCAGCTCGGTTTCCTCCCACCAGACCACTCCAGCCGTCAGCTCTTGAAATATCCCAGTGGAATTCTCCAGGGAGCAGGCTATCTCCCAATTATTGCAGAGACATCCTCCCCAGGCTTCCCCCCTCAGGCCTGTGTGATTTCCACATTATTTCCACATTCTGATTGGCAGGCCTCCCTCTTCCTTCCCAATCCCCCTCGTGTCCAGCAGAGGAACTGGATGCCCAAGTCACAAAGGTGCCGTCCACTCAGGAGCTGCTCATCTATACAGCCGTAAAGCCCCTGGTGGTCCCTGGTGGTCCTCAGGGGCAGGGGTCCGGATCCAGTTTGCTGCATTTCTGACTCTCAAGGCCCCAGGGCAAGTCACTTAACCGCCTCATTAGGATCACAGTCACAGCCCTGCTAGGCCTCCCTCCCAGGTGCCTGTGCACCCCATTAATATCTGTAAAGAGCCATTAAGCCTTCTAGCTGGAAGGCACCATAAAAGCAAAACCTATCACTATTATCATCAATAAACCCCAAGGCCCTCTTCCCTGTCACCACCTAAGGTCGCTCAGTTACCCAAGTGCAGACTGGCCCATCCGCTCCCTAATGAGCTGCCGCAGCCTAATGGCCATGACACTGCCAGGGGTGCCCAGCCAATCTTCCACTCCAGCCAGTGCATTGGCACTGTCAGAACCTCCCTCCCACGCCGCCCCCACCTGCAGCCTGAAGTCTCAGCCCAGGGCCTCTCACCTCTAACACCCCACTGCGGGTGATCCTGGCCCCATCTGGGAGAGGCAGGAAAAGGCTTGGAAATGCAGAGGCTGGTGCCCTGAACTCCTCTCTGGCTCCTTGTTCCTCAGGCCTGCCTGCTCCAGGCTCCCCTGATCACCCTGTTCAAAGCCCAGCCAGGCCAGGGAGGCGCTGTCTGTAACAACCCCAAACTGAGGACAGCATGTATATCTGGAACAGGAGTGGCCTAGATAAGCCCCAATATCACAAAGCACCACATAGCGCTGCCCTCATAAAGGACAAGGGAGTGCTCTGCTGCCCTGCCATGCCATGTCGCCATTACATATATGTGGTGGGACCACGCATCATTTAACGACGGGGCTTTCTGAGACAGGCCCATGATGGGATGTCATCATGCAAACGTCACAGAGTGTATTACACAAACCTGGAGGGGACAGAGGGCCGCACCCCTAGGCTGGTGCAGCCCACAGGCTGTTCCACCTTGACCAAAATGTCAGTAAGTGACATGAGGCTGAATCCCTGAGAACAGCGCGGGCGGGAGACCTGCTCTTTGCAGTACACACTGTGCATCTTCTGACAATCCAGCCGAGTGTACACACCACCTACTCAAAGTAATGTCTTCAACTGATCTTCTGCTGGAGGCAGGAAATTAAGCATCTTCCCTATTCCCAGTGACCTGTTCTGATTGTAAACAGGGAGCCCCTTAGTCCCAGAGAGCTTCTGATTTAGCTAAATTGGGGGAGACCCTTTTGAGCAGGAGGGTCTAGAGGTCAGCTCCTTTGGAAAGGCAGGAGGCCCTTAATCAGGAGCTGGAAGGTGCCCGGTGACCGCACCTGGAGTGAGGGCTCACCCATCCTCAGGAGGGTGGTGTGGTCCTGAGTGTGCAAGGAGCCCCGGGGACTCCTGGGCTCCCAGGCCTGTGTGAGCAGGGTTTGTCTTAGGAAATCCCTCCTTCTAGAGTGGAAGACAAAAGCACAGCCCTCTCAACAAGATGCCAGCTTTATTAATGTAGCCCAAAATTGATATGCTGTGAAAATAAAACATCGACAATTTAGAGGCAGGATTATAAAGTTAAACATGTAGGTAACCTATGTACATACCACTATAAAGTGTCTTTTTGAGGACACATAGGCACAGAAGGTATTACCTATGGGAAATGTGTACTTAAAAGATACTTCTTCCATCCCAGGTGGGAATATAAAAAGGAGAACGTATTTACCCATGACCTATGGTGACGGATCCACCAGCACACACTTGGTCATGGAGTTATGAGTGCATGTTGATTTCCAACTGTCACTTATTTTATCACGTGGGAACACGAGTTACAGGGTCAAAACAGAAGGATTTTGCACTGTGGTGTCTTGTCTATTCCAGAAGCTGCCCCATTGGAAAGGGAAGCCTTAGACTTACAAATCTGTTTTGAAATGTTGGGCAACATGTTGGTCGTATCTTTAACAAAGATATTTATCTGCAGCATCCAAATAAATTAAATAAATAGCTTTGTTGGGTATTGCTGTTTGAAAAAATAAGGCAGGAGGGAGGCATGCTGGGCACCTCCACCAGGCAGCCCTCCCTCCTTTATTCCTGAGACAACTGCAAACACATCACCCAGGCACCTGGCTCATCCATCAGTCCATCTGCACGTCCTGACCGACGGGAGGAATAACTGGACCAAGGTGCGCGTCCGTGCCCTCCGGCTCACAGTCTGGATGTCTGGACAGGTGCAGCTGAATTTTCAGCCAGATGTTGGCTCGCTGGCCCCAAGCTCCTGGGGGCTCCACCTCCCACAGGCGCCCCTGCTCCTCTGGGTGGGCCAACAGGAACTTCCTACAGACTGTGAGGAAGGGGTGCAGGCCTGAGAAACAAACACCTGTGACCGGGGACACAAGAGCCAGCCCCTACCACCCCCATTCTCCCTGCAGCACCCGCCCCACCCCACTCTGGGCTCTGACCCCAGCCACCTGCCAACCACCTGTTCATCCACTCACATGCCGCCCTCACCTGCCATCCCATGTCCCACTTCCGCCCACCCCACCTTAGTGGCTGCAGCTGCTGTAACGGAGCACCAGCACGATGTTTACTTCCTCAGGTTCTGGAAGCTGCACCTCCAAGGTCAAGGTGCCCCAAGGCCCGTGCTTGGCTGCCTGCCCCTGTGGGCTCGTGCATCTGCCCGTTGTACCTGTCCGTGTCCTAATCACCTCTTCTTCTAAGGACACCAGCCCTGCTGGGTTAGGAAGCCACTTTCATGACCTCGTTTAACCCTTTACCTGTTTAAAGGTCCCGTGTCCAAACATAGTCAAGTGGGGGGCTAGGGCTTCAACATAAGAATTTGGGGGCCCACTTGAGGGAAGATATACTTTTGCCTGTTTTTTTTATGACTTCAGAGCAACAGAAGTTTCCTACCTTCTCTCTTGTGTTGGTCTCCCCAAGTTATAAGGGCACCAGAAAATCAAGAATCTGGGGGGAGGGGCAAAATTCTGCCCATGATATCACCCAACCCAGTACTCCCCTCCAGGCCACCCCCCAGGCTCCTCAGACCTCCTCCAGCTCACTCTCCAGACAGGTTGATTCCCGAGTCCCCTCAAGGCTGGGAGACTTCTTTGCGCTCCTACAAGGGTGAGCATTTTGCCACGGCTGCACCCGAGTCAGCCAAAGGGATGCTGCCTCTGGCCCCTGCAGGTGCCCACAAGAGCTCCATCAGGCCTCGCCTGACACTGCCGTTACCAGGGCAACAAGGCAGGGCGGCAGAGTCTGACAGCTAAGTATTGGGCAGGTGCAGGTCCAGCTAGCAGAGGGCTAGCTAGAACGTTCTGCACTCCTGTCTTGACAAATATAACTTCAGAACAACAGGGAAAGCCAGCTTCAAATTTAGAATTCTTGGATTTCTTAGTTTTGCACCAGAACATGCAACACAAAGATCGCTGGCCGCTGCCAGCTGCCCACGCCGCCTCCTCCCAGCCCAGCCCAGAGCATACACTGCAAGGGGTCTGCACATGGATGCAGATGCCAGGCCACACTCCACCACACCCATTGCTGCTCTGTCCCTGGAGTCTAAGGACATGCAAACTGGTAGCATGGGCCACCCTTGGGTGCACAGATTCAGGGAGGAAGCCCATCCAGGTCTTCGGGGGCCACTTGAAGGAATCTAGGGGTTCTGGTATCAATGGTCTTGTCCAGCCTTTAACCTTGAACTGGAACATCTGTTTTTGTGGGGTCCCAATCCTGCCCATCCCAGCTAGAATGACACCATCAGCCTCTGGGTCTCCAGCTTCCCTATGGTGAGCCTCAGGAGGTGTCTTAGTCGCTATGAATCCACCCCATAACCCCACATCTATCCACACATGCACATACACACACACACACACACACACACACACACACACACATAGAGCCTATCGGCTCTGATTCTCTGGGGTACCCTGACAAATATAGGGGCCTGTAGGATGTGCGTGCAGGAGGGAGGAAGTCTCTCTAGGAAGAGGTACAAGGTGCTGGGACTCATGCACTTGGGGCTTATCTTTCTACTCCAGCCGCTGCCGGCCCTGAAGTCCCTGCTCCCCCAGGCTTCTGGTTGAAAGGGCAACGTGATGAATCCCAAGGTTCACATGAAGGAGCAGGGGCAGGCTGAGGCCGAGACAGCAGCACCTTGGAATTGCACCCTCCCTCTCTGTGCTGATTTGTTTTATATCATTCCTAAATCCAAGCATTTCTCAGGCTGGGCCAGACTCACGTTTGTACTGAAGCAATAGGCACTTCTGGCTGGGGTGAGGGGTAGGGGCAGGAAGAAGAACAGAAATCCCACCTGCCGTCACCATGCCGACCTTTCCTGCCCCGGAGCCACCTGGAATGCACCTGTGTAACCCACCCTCCTGTCCAAACACCCCCACCTGATGCAGGGTGGGTTTACCTTGGAACATGGCAGGAGAAATCGGGCAACTGACCCCCAGGGCCTCTTCCTCCTGGAATGTCTGGCAGAAGTCCTGCAGCATGGCCAGGCCCAGGCCTTGGCGACGGTGGCTCCTTCTGACAAACACGGTATCGAAGACCGGCAGCAGGTAGCATGCACCTGTGCCGTCACCACACAGGCTGCCTGCAGGGAAAGCAAGAGCACGCACTGTCCCCTGGTTGTGCAACCCCAGGCCCTGTGGGACTCCTGCGCAGCCGGGTCACCAGTCCCACCTGCAAGTGGGCAGGATTCCCATGGGAAATAACCAAAGACAAGAGAGCGGGTCATCCTGAGCACCAGCTCCCCAGCCCACATTTGTTCCCTGCCAGGGACAGAGCCCCAGGAGACTGACTGCAATGAAATGAGAAGCAAGTCTGGACATGTGGATAGAGCAAGGCCACCCGGGGCCCCACACTCGTGGGGCCTCCCCTGCTTGTGTAGAGTTCAGCGCCCCTGATGCCAGTGAGGAGCTTCTGGGCAACACACCTGTTCTCCCTGAAACCTGGGATGAGGGAGAACCATTTGACACCTCTGTAGAATACAGATATATTTCAAGAGCTCTACCCAGGGCTTACCATGGCCAGTTACAGTCAAATGCATTCCCCAGAAGCACCACACACCAGGCCCTGCTGCCAGTGCAGCATGGAGAACCCTGCTGCAGCAGAGCCAGACAGGCAGCGTGTGGCACCCTAACCGTGACTGCGACCTGCACCACCACCAGCATTGAGGCTGCTTCTAAGGTAGGAACGTGGCCCTGCAGCCAGTCGCCTCAGCTGTCACCCGGAACACAAAAAGCAATGTCCCACGGTGCATGCTCCACCATCGCCCTCCTTCCCAACCTCAAGGGTGCCTCGATGTGCCGGGGTCCAGGCAAACAAGTACATAGCATATTCACCTCCTGTTGGGAGTGGAGATATTTGCCCCCAAGATTCAGAAGGTGGGTAATTTACCAAACAAAATCAGGATTTAAGCCACCCACTGAGTGATATTTTGTTATGGTTGCCCCAGTTAACTAAAATGGAATAGGAGAAAGTGGGGACAAAGGATGACAGGTGAGGGTGACATGTGGCTGGATGAACAAACACTAGGATTCAGATTCTAATCAATCAGATTAGATTAATACTATGGAGCAAAGTATTTGCTAAAACAGCCACAACAACTTGCCTTCCTACAGACACGACCTTTGCACATGACTTTGAAACTCCTTCCATCAAGAGATGGGTTCATTTCTTCTGTTCTTCAATCTGGCTAGCCTCATGACTCAATGAATCACAGAATGAGGCCAAGTGACAGCACGTTAATTCATGGGACCCAATGTTCCTTTATTTTGTCTCAGATCCTCATCATCTACCTTAAGAACAAGTCTATACTAATCTGTTCTCATAAGAGAAATATGACACAGGCACCTCTGAGGTCCCAGAGATAGCTAGCGGGGCCCAAGCAGCAGCACCCCCTACATGATGGGCAGGTGACTACAGGCACATAAGCAAGCCCAAGGGGTCTGAGCCAGAAAGTCACCCAGCTGAGCCCTGCCAAAACCATCAGTGAAAAAAATGGTGAACTAAACAAGCAGTTGATTTGTGCCAAAATATGTGAGTGATCTATAACCACAAGCAACCCAATTCATTTGTAATGGTACTTGTGAAGTATTTGGATTTCACCCTCAATGTTCCTGAAATGATAGTACCGCCTTAGTTGGAATTACGTAACTTCAGCTTTTATAGACCATGAGAACAATCTTTCCCAAAAAGCAGTCTTCAAAAGCTAAGGAAGTTTAAAATTAAATATATTTCCCTTCACAATAGAATTAAAAATTAGAAGTAAATCCTTAGGAATGTGTTTAACAAAAGACGTATCTGCTTTGAACACTAAAAACTACAAAACATCCTTGAGGGAATTTAAAGATGATGGAAATAAATGAAGAGAAATTCCAAGTTCATAGATTGGATAACAATACTGTTAAGATGAAATCCCAAATTGATCTGTAACTTTAGAGTCAGTCCTATCAAAACCCAGCAGGCTTTGTTAGTGGAAAAAGCTGACATCGACAAGCTGATACTAAAATGTACATGAAATGCAAAGTCTCTACACTAAGCAACACAGTTTTGAAAATGAAGAGCAAAGTTAGAGGTTTTATACTACTTAAAGCTTCTTATGAACTCAAGGGAATTAAGAAAGTATGATATAGGTACAAGGATAGGCATGCAGATCAATGGAACAGAAGTATGAGACCATATTAAATTGTTACACTTAGAATTTCAATGGAAGTGCCAAGGTACTTCAATAGTAACAGGATGACTGGATAGCCATAGACAAAAAAAAAAAAAAAAGAAATAAAAAAGCTGAAATGGAAAAGAGAGTCCTGAATTAGACCCACACATATAGAGTCAACTGCTCTTTGGCTTTTATAGACAATGAGAAGAATCTTCCCCAAGAGGCAGTCTTCAAAGGAGCAAAGCAAAGTCAATGGAGAAAAGGCAGTCTTCAACAAGCGATGCTGAGACAACTGTGCTTTTGCATACAAAAATAAATAAATAAATAAATAAATAAGGGCCTCCCAGGTGGCGAAAGGGGTTTAATCTCAGCACTATGAAGCTATCACCAGCCATTGCGGCATGAGTTCGATCCCTGGCCAGGGAGCTGACCCACATGGCACAGCAGACCTCTCCCGTCTCACCTGCTGTGTCCCTCAGCAGCGTATTTCAGTTGATCTGCCTGTTCTGTTCCCCACTCTGTCTCTGGTGAATTCTCTCATCCCCTACACCTCTGGCCTGTACCTCATTCTTGTAAAAATAAATAAATAAATCTTAAAAAAAAAAAAAAAGAATAGAGTCACTGAAATACACTATTGAGGGGAACAGCGGGCAAAACAGGAGAGGTCTGCTGCACCATGTGGGTCAGTTCCCTGGCTGGGGATCGAACTCATGCCACAGTGGCTGATGAGAACTTGATAGTGCTAAAACTTTTAACCCCCTCGCCACCAGGGAGGCCCCTCAAAGACTTTTAGAAGAACACAGAGAAGAAAATCTCACAACTTGGGTTAAACAAAGAGTCCTTAGTTCAACACCAAAAGCACAATCAAATGACAAATCTGACTTCTTCAAAATTACCTTTGTACTTCAAAAAGACATCACGAAGAGATGAAAAGACAATCCATAGATTTTAAGAAAATGTAAGTCACATTTCTGAAAAAAGACATACCTAGATTATATAAAGAACCCTTTTTTAAAATTATTTTATTTTATTGAGGTAACAATTTGCCACACTTTATATGATTAGGGATAGATTCACACTTCTTCAAATATATGTTATACCACATCCACAACCAAAACACTAATAAGCCTCCAACATAGTTCATTGAACCCCCTCCCAGATATTACTTGCTACCCCCAATCCTCTCCCCTCTGATAGCTCAGATCTGCAGTTATATTTCTTGGGTTTGTTTTAGTTCAGTTTGTTCCTTGGCTTTATTCATTTTATACAAAGAACTCTTCCAATTCAATTTAAAAAGCAAGCAAGCAAAAAGGACAGATGATCTGAACAGACATTTCATCAAAGAAGACATACAAATGATTAATAACCAATGAAAAGACATTCAGCATCATTAGTCATTAGGAAAATGCAAATTAAATCCACAATAAAAATGCTACTTTTGACCTACTAGACTGACTATAATCAAAGAGACAAGAAATAGAAAGTGTTGACAGAATGTGGCGATACTGGAACCCTCCTAGATTGCTGATGGGAATATATAATGGTGCAGTCACTTTGTGAGATAATTTGGCAGTTTCTTTAAAAGTTAAACATAAGCTTTACAAATGATCCAGCAATTCTACTCCTAGGAAGCCACCCATGAGAAATGGAAACACATGTCCATACAAAGACTTGTATGCAAATGTTTATAGCAGCATTACTTATAATAAACCCAAACTGGAAACCATACTGGTAAATTCATGAGCAAAATGTGGTCTATTCATACCATGGAACACTATTCAGCAATAAAAAGGAATGAAATGCAAAGATATGCTACCACTTGGATGAACCTCAAAAACACTAAGCTAAGTGAGAGAAGCCAGATGCAAAAGACCACACATTGTATCATTCCATTTATATGAAATGTCCAAGAAATGCAAATTGATGAAGACAGAGAGCTGATCGGAGGTTGCCCATAGCTGGACTGGAAGCAGAGGATGACAGCAAGCAAGCAACTTTGGGGGTGATCTCTATCCCAAAGTCTCGATGGTGGTGATGATTACACAACTCTCTAAATTTACTAAAAATCACTGAGTGGCACACGTACAAGTGGCAGATTTTATGGGTTGTAAAATCATCCTTCAATCAAATTAACTTTTAAAAGATGCAATGAAATATATTAAAAAGAGTTGCTCAAGTATGGCAAGTGGAAAACAGCCACTTTACAGAGGAGAAGGCTGGTGGGACACCCCGTGTAACTAGTGTGAACACACGTGTGTGCATGTGAGAGTGGCCCTTCACGCTCCCCAAACCCACACCCAATCAACTCGTGAGAAAACACCAGACAAACCTAAATTAAGGACCGTTCTATTTCCTGGTCCATATTCCTCAAAAGTGTCCAGATGGTGAAAGATACGTCAAACCAAGAAATGGGCACAGATTAGAAAAAGAAATGTAGAAAGATCTGAAGACAAAGTGCAAAGCAGTGTCCTGGATCAGCTCTTGGAAGAGAAAAAAGACTTTGCTGGAAAATGAATCAATGTGAATGTCTTAGCTGTGATCACTGGATCATGGTTATCTAAATGCCAACAATGGGAGAGGTGGGAGGAGAGGTACTGGAGCGCTCTCTGCAACTCTTCTGGAGATCTAAAATTAATTCAAAATGAAGAGCTAGTGGGGTGGGGTAAGAGAACAAAAAACTCTCCACCAGCCTTTTCTAAAGACTTTTCACACCTTCAGATTGTTCCAATAAAACCCATCTTTAACATCAAGTCCCAAAACTAAATCACTTTTTAATAATATCAATTAATTGTGAACAGGGAATGAGGCAATTAGCCAATGGCATTAAAAATGACTCTCCAGGCCTCCCCAGTGGCACAGCTGTTAAAGCACAGCACTGTGAAGCTGTCCGCAGCCTCTGCAGTGCGGGTTCGATTCCCAGCCAGCCAGGG